TGAATAATGCTTACCGCCCTTGTCCCATTGCTGTACACTTTAACCAGATTTCTTATATCAACAGCAAGTTTCAGGTCAGTTGGCTCGCGTTCAAAATTATCTAAAATACTTTTTAATTTTCTCAACAGTTCAGTGTTTCTTTCTACCTCATCATTTCTTTCATTCTTTTTACTCTGACATTTTTTACCAATATTTGTTTCCTCATTTTACCGCTGATTTTTCACTTTATACGGCGGTAAGTTCAGCTTGAATAATAATAGCTGTTGTAGTAGCAGAAACAGCAGTAGCAGTAGTAACAACAGCAGCAATAGCAGAAGCAGCAACGGACTAGGTCTAAGCTTAGGCAGCAGATTAGGCTTAGGTTTGACGAGAAATTAGGCTCTAGATATCATTAGCAGCAGTTTAGGCTTAGGCATGGGCAACCACAACGACCCGATTGTTACTGACTCAATTATCATTAACTGTTGCCTCATTTTTAATACATTAGTCGCTATATTAATATTTACTACTTTTCTTGCTGCGATTACAGGTTGCTCGCTCATATTTGTGCAATCAAAAAAGCAATGTTACCTGACAGCTTGACTGGCGGCGGAGCGGCATCGTCCCGAGCTTTGCGCAATATATAACTGTCGCCGAGCCAATAGCGCGCAGTGAAAAAGAAATAGAATGGCTGAGGAACACCGTAAGCACCTAAATTTTTCATTTTATGCTACGATTTTAATGGCTCTACCAAAATTCCACAGTTTGTAATTCAGCAGAATGAGTCGAGGAGGGAATACTGGTAAAAAATTTTGATGCTTACGGTGTTTACGGTACTTAATGGACCGAAACATTTCTTACCATCACAATAATTTTATTAAAATAATTTTAATACTTTTACCAATCTCTTTATACTATTTTCTGTTCTATTCCTCTTCCTATTTCAAAATACCTTTCCATTAAAACCGGAAATTATCAGATTGTCCTGAAAATCGCTAAACTAAACTAAAGACCGCTAAATCTGGCATTAAACGAAGCGCGAAAACATGGCGCACCGCTCATGCAAACGATGCCATTTTGGTTGCAGATACAGAAGTTAAGTAAGTACCGTCCTTTTCTTACATCTATTCATGTAACTGTTAGGTGTGAACCCTCTCTTCCTCGTCCTGCTTCCGATTCCTTAAAGTAATCTCTCTTTCCTCCTTTTTTTGCTCAGTGTAAAATATCATTTTGTCCGCAAACTTTTGGTTTTCTTGGTAATATTTGATTACAAAATTGTCAAACGCGGGCAACATTCAGCATGCCCAAGAATCTGTCCTGTACAAAGAACTAGCACATGAAGCAATTATTTGAAACGGTAATGTACTTACCAGGAAACACTGCACTCACATACCATGCCAAAATCGCATAGATAAGTGTATCTATTGCAAATGCCGATAATACGTGCGATAATGTGATACCGTATTCTGGAAAAAAAGCAAAGGTTCTCTAATGTAAAAGTTTGCTAGCCCAATATCAACTAAGGAAGTACAGAACAGAATGGCAAATTTAGACCCAAAAAATCCCGTTTCAGCGGACTACGTGGAAAAAATAAGAGATAACAGGGGAAGTAGGACAAGACTGGAAACAATAAGCATTTGGATCGATGCGAAATTCATGAAAATGACTAACAGTCTACCTGCTGCATATATGGAGAAAATGGAGGACCAGTCGCTGACATAATTTACGTCTGCTATGTATATCAGTTCAAAACCGTAGGCCACTGCAGTCTGAGGGAACAATAACTGAAAATAGAACTTCGTCAAAGCAACAGATTCTGGACATCTATAGCCAAAAAGGTTTTTTTGAAGCCGATAAAGATAACGAATATACCAAGACCGGTCGGACTAACAATGCGAGAGTGCTTTGTTTTATTGGATTTACTGAGATATTCCCACATGTCGAATGTAGTTGTGCCAGACCTTTCGGTCCGGGGCTGATAAAGATATGGTGTGGCTATAACTGCTACTACTACGGCTTTGCTTATTATTATCATCGTTTTATTATAGTCGTAACAATAATTATTATTATCACTAAAATTATTATTGTTACTATTACTATTCTACTTATGACCAAGACCGCTCAGTCTTTCAATGTGGAACCCTCTATATTTCTGAGACATGACCACGTGCTATGTGCATGATTTGGAAAAGCGTCTGTTTCCAAGACTGGTCTCTTTGCTTCTCTCTAAGTGGCATATTTATTAATGAGGCATTTAGAATTATATAACTTACGCTAAAGGTGATGTATGTCAGTGATTGCGCCTTTGTTGATATTTGATAGGGGAAGAAGAGCAGAAGGAATATGACTGCTGTGCTCACGGATGCGACGTTCGTTTGCGAGAATAACGTAGAGATGAA